TGAGTGGAGAGAAAGAGAGAGAGAAAAACATCAACTGGCTGCCCCCCACAAGTGCCCCAACTGAGGCTGGGGATCCACCTGCAACCCAGGCACATGCCCTTGACCGGAAATCGAACTTATGGCCCTTCAGGGCTCGGGCTGACACTCTAGCTACTGAGTCACACCGGCCAGGGCAATGTTGGTAATGCTTTATTTCTTGATCTGGGTGGCTGTTTTACACAGCTGAGTTCATATTATAACAAATCATTGAGCAATACACTTATGATTTATATATTTCCTATGTAAGTTTAAAATAAAAAGAATGGTGTAGGCAGCAAGTGTTGCACAAGACCAGTCTGCTTAGTCGGTATCTATAATAATGAAAGTGTAATATGCTAATTAGACCAGATGATTCCGGACAAACTGGGCGATGTGCAGAGGGTTCCCGAAGCGGAAGTTCTCGCCCCTGAACAGGGCCAGGAGCAGCTGGTTCTGCTGCTCGGCGCTGTCCTCGGGGACGCGGGGCAGGAACTGCTGGAGGTGCGCGCGCTGCGAGTCACTCAACACCTCCTGCCACGTCGAGAGGCTGACCACCTCGAAGAAGATCTCGGGCTGGAACGAGGGGAAGCGGGAGGAAAGTCACCCAGAGAAAGCGGTTTCTAAGTTTTCTGTGTGTGTGATAAAATACATATGACATAAAACTTCCCATTTTATCCATTTTTAACTGTACGGTTCAGTAGCACTAAGTACGTTCACAGTCGTGCAACCATCACCACCATGCAAGCTTTAAGTGTCTTTAAACGAACTAAAATTCCACGGATCTTTGCTCAATTCTCAAAAGTTAAGAGATTCGTAAAGACTATCTATAAACCAAAGTCTTATACCCAACAGTGAGTAACGCAGAGGAAAACCATCTCAGTAGAGAGACCCCTATCTGGGAACCGTTTCTGCCAGCAGGGGACATGACGGCAGACATCCGAGTTCAGCGAAGACGAGTGGCAGGAAAAAGTTAACAGGGGAGGAGAGAACTTGAGGAGTTGAGGTCACCTGCTGAGAGTGAGAAGCGGCGGGATGGAGCTCATTTTCAGCTCAACAATCACATACTGGACATCTCCTGTGTGCTACGTACTAAGACAGACTAGTACTGCAGACATATTGTCTGGTTGTGGGGAATATTACACAAGCAATTACAACGCAGCTTAAGAAGTTTACCTATGAGCACACAGGAGAAGCACACCTCCCAGACTGAAGGTTTCAGAGAACACCTACCAGGGGAAGTGACATTTACGATAGTGAGGGATGTCCGGCCAGCATGGCTCAGTGGTTGAGCGTCGACCTATGAACCCGGTGGTCACGGTTCAATTCCCGGGTGGGGCATATGCCTGGGTTGTGGGCTCAATCCCCAGTGTGGGGCACACAGGAGGCAGCCGATCAATGATTCTCTCTGATCACTGATGTTTCTATTGCTCTCTCCCTCTCCCTGTCTGAAATCAATAAAAATAAAAAAAAAAAAGGTTTTTTTTTTAAAAGACAGTGAGGGATGATAAGGAAAATAAAAAAAGACCGCTCTCTCCCTCTCCCTGTCTGAAATCAATAAATAAATATGTATTTTTTTAAAGACAGTGAGGGATAAGGAAAAGAAAAAAAGATTGAGGCAAGAGGGTTAAAAACCCAAGAACAAAAAAAATTCAGACAACATGTGGCTGGCACAAGGAGAGGGAAGGAGAGGGGGAGCAGCCAGCAGGAGGAACAAGGGACCTGTGAGCATGCTCAGTACTTGTGCCTTTACCCTTTGGGCAACGGGGAACCCTCAACTCTCTCAGCATGAGTGCACCAAAGCACCTCCGTGTCCAACATCTTCCCCTGCAAACCTGTTGGTGCTCACCACTTCATTCCCAGCCTCTCAGTGTCTGGCATAAAGTAGGTGCTTAATGAAACAAGTGTTTGCTGACGGAGTAACACAGATTTACTTGAAAGAGCATGCAAAGGAAACATGGAAGGATCTACAGCAACTTCGGTGGTTGTTACTTCAGGTGAGAGAGGGGATAAGACAGGGCAGAGTGGCGGCTTTAATTTCATCTAAAATGTCTGACGAATTATGAAAGAGAAATCTGAACCAAATGTGACTAAATGAAATGATCTCCTAACACTGGATGATGCTCAGATGAAAGTCAGCTTTGTGACGCTGCACCTATGTTTGAAATATGCAAAATAAACCAAGACAGAGAGAAAACAGGTGTTTCAACCCCTAGCGTCTTCCACATACTAAGCACTTAATAAATGGCAGCCACCGTAACAATGATGATCACAGCACCCGCCGGTGAAAGTGGTCACAGCACGCTGACATGCTTTCCCAGGGCACATGCTAATTGACGAGCCGGCTCCTTATAGCCAGAGAGGGCATGTTTGGGTTTGGTTCCATGAATCACAACATGGGTAATCCATGTATTGTAAGCATACACATAATCCTCCTCTTTAAAAAACTTCTTGTTCATCGCTGAAAATTAACTTGTTAAAAATAGGGCTTTATAACAGTATCAAGTTATTAAACATGCAGAATGTAGCTTATAATTTCTTCCTTACTCAGAATATTAAATAGACTCTCCACAAAAAAAGCCAGAGATCACTCTGGCTGCAGTGGAGAAAATGAAACAGAAGGTGGCACGAAAAGGATTAGAACAGTGGCTGCGGGGAAGCTGAGAGAGGAAAAGATGGTGATGACATAACTCACATCCTCCAGAAGGTCCTCCGGCAGGCTAACCCTGGTGTCCCCCAGGAGGCAGTCCTCCATAATCCGTGTGCCATGGCCGTCTCCACACGGACCCAGTTCCAGGGGGTCCGTCAGCATATGGTCCAAGGAGTCCATTTTTTACGTTTCACGGGGAATCTAGACAAACACAACAGGCAGCCCTACCTTGAGACAGAAAGGCAGAAATCCGGGGGGACCTGATAGACACACATACCTTCAGAAAATATTGTGGCCAGAAAATATTCCATCTCAAATCCACTCTTATCCCTTATCTTCACACCCTAACTACAGCTCAACAGCTCTTCTCCCTCCCTCCCACCACCCCATATTCATCTGAACTCTCAAATTTATCAGACCTCTTCTAACTCCCAAATTTATAGATTTTCTAACTTCACTTTACACATAAGCAAAAGGAGACTCGCTGAACGGATCAGCAGAGCGCGTAATTTAGACTTCTAGACTTCCCAGGCCAATAGTATCTCCACTTTAACATAATTTAACAATGGTTTTTTTTTTTAGCAATTAAGTCTTTGTTCTTCCACAAAAGAAAATTCACACAGACTAACTAATAAAGCTCAGACACTAACAATAACGTTACTTAATGAGGGCTACCAGCTGCCAGGGCTTTTCATAGATCTCATTTAATTCTTACAACTGTGAAAGACGGGGTTATTACAGCTATTCTACAGGCAGTAAAACAAGGACAAAGTAGATAAGTAACTCGCCTAACACCAGGGATAGGACTGAGGCTCAGGTCTGCCTGGCCGCAGAGCCATTTCTTAACACTACACACAATACACCCTATCTAAACCTCCAATTTAAATCATGAAAAGGGAGCATTTTATGATGGCTTTATTCATCCAAATAAACTCCAGAGGCTTCAAGACCCTGGCCGTCACCATCTGTAATGTGGCGGCCAACCCACCTTCAGTCGGTCCATCCGATTTTTATAGCCATGTAAATGCAATGCTATTTTTCTCCTTCCTGTAATAACTGAACACAGCTGGCCACCTTTAGAAAAGTACATATTAAAACATTTCACAAGGCTGAGGGCTAGAATCCATGTAAAGCAGTGGCCACTGGACTGAACAAAGCTCTCAGGAACAGGGAGCCTGAACTCCATCACTCGAAGAACACTGGCTAAGTCCATGCTCTATTTCCTATTCCTACCAAACGGGCTAGCAGTAACAAGGACAGTAAAATGGAAAGAAAACAAAACAAAACAAAAAAAACAACAGACTACAAACCAAAACACCAAACTTCTAATCTCGGTGACTCCGGACAAATCTTACCTCACCAGGTGTCAATTGACGAAGGGTAGTTGGACCAATCCTGGATTCCTGCAATGAATAATCTCTAGATGGATGAGTTTCCGTGACCTAATGCAGTCACATAACGTAGTAATGCAATGACTTCTCATTCTGAAATTCTCAAACGATAAAACAGCAAACCTGTAAATGGACGATTAAAACGAGCACCTCCCCACTCAATGATTTCCAGTTATCTTTAAGAGGTTTCAGATCTATCTGAGACCCAGCGGATGGGTTCGTGTGGAACCAATCAGCTGTGTCCCCCGCCAGCCATGGTGCATTACAATACCCTGAACATCCCCTGCGCTAAATGACTGAAGCAGGTGAGCAAGCACAAGACATAGGTGTTTAACAAACCTTTGAAATAAAAAAAAAACCTGATGCTGAGGATCAAGTCCTCATTTAAAAGCACGGACATGCAGCTGGGTAAGAGCTGCAAAGCCAGCGTCCCACCTGACTTTTAGGGGAATCACCTGTTTCCCAACTTGCGCACAAGTGTCTGCAATTCGGTGGACGTGGAGCTGCATTGAATCTTACCCAGGGGCAACCTTTGCCCCGCTGCTATTCTAAATAGGCTCTCCAAATACAAAAAGCAGGCAGCTGCCAGGGGCTGGCACCCCGGAAGCCGAGGATTTCTAAGTCTTGTGGCGTCTGGACCTCTTTACTAGACCAGGAAGGCCTCTCCCAGTGGTCTTTCCTCTGCACCAGGGCTAACCGACCCCCCCGCTTCCCCCCACCAAACAAGCTAAACCTTAGGCTCCTTCCGGGGCCACCCCCGGCTCCAGATCCCTCGTCCCTGCTGCAAAGCCTCCCCCAGCCAACCCCTCCCCAGCCCGAGGCCCAGGTCTCCCCCTTTCCATCTG